CGCTTCACCATGAGGATAGATGTATTCCATCATGTTGCTCTGCTTATTGGGGGGGTCAACCTATGCCTAGATATTCATTTATCGCTTGTCGCTTCACCATGTAGGATAGAAGTATTCTATTATGTTGCTCTGCTTATTGGGGGGTCAACCTATACCTAGATATACATTTATCGCTTCACCATGAGGATAGATGTATTCCATTATGTTGCTCTGCTTATTGGGGGTCAACCTATGCCTAGATACTCCTATGTCGCGTCACCATGTAAGATAAAAGTATTCTACTATGTTGCTCTGCTTATTGGGGGGTCAACCTATACCTAGATGTACATTTGTCGCTTCACCATTCTCCCCTCTCGAAAGGCGATGATTTTCATCTACTGGCCACAATGAGCTTGGATCCCCAAGATTCCGGATTTCCCGTGTCGCGCCAGAGGAAATACATGTTGATAGGCCGGCGCCACATGGAGCGCATGCCTTAGCTTGCTAACCTACTTGCTTCTGATGCAGCATAGCCAAGTATAGTCTGGATACGTTTCATTTGCAACGTACGTATCCTAGGCTGAACTGTGATGTTAGCAATCTCTTGGATGCAAGCCGCGTGTCTATGGAAGCTCTCCACATATCTTCGTTCCTGGACCTGCTCCCGATGACCACGCACGTGGACGAATGTCAGGGAAATTACAACACCAGCGCGGGGCTTACGTTAGCAGTGCACGTGCGCGCGACGATTTGGTAGTGTTGGAATGTCCTGCTTCGGCTAGTGTGTGCTCTCAAGTAAGGACGGCTTGATTACGAGCGTATGTTTCCAGACATGGTTGCTTTTGACCTGCACCAAAGCCCTTCTCACCGTGCCCGGCGTGCTTCGAAGATTATGTTTCCTCTGACAACCGGGTGTAACCGTGTGTGGCTGAGAAACCACAAGCGCTTCTTGACCGGCGCCGAGCTGTTATCTTTGCATTCCATCCCAGTCAACACCGATGTGGCCCGGGTCATGAAATGCAGACCCAGCCGAATGGAGAGTATTTCTAACACAGGCCGATGCACTCTTGTCGGAAATTCGATGCATGGAGCCTCTGTTGGAAAGGTGTTTGCGATTGCTCTGCTGTACAGCAAGAAGAACTCATCGACTCTTGACGGAGGACGTGCGACGGCAAGCCGAAACTCGGATCACCTAGGTTTTCACGAGTCATGTTTCATTTCACACTGGAGGTCTGTGGAAAGCAGAGCGGGCTTGTGCTTGATTGGCATGGACTTCTTTGCAGCCTTTTGTTCGTTCAGTCGGTGCTCCGCGAGTCTGTTGTTGTGTTTGAGTGCATCAAGCCAACAGCCATGTCAGACGGAGAATCGTCATCTGACCATTCAGATGGTGAGTCGATCAAGGTCAACTGCTTGGAGTGTGGCAGACTATGCTCGATCAGAAGAGCTGTGAAGTTTGGGAAGCGCTTCAGAGACCCCAAATGCCATTCAGCATACAGGTGGCTGACCACGAACGATCCAGAATGGCCCACCAAGACAGCAGAGGAGAAACGGGAGACAGTGATCGCAAACCGCGGTCAAGGGGGCCGTGGAACCGCGAGGAAGCTTGTTGCTGTTCACGAAGCTCCTAGGCGTAATCGTGACACAGCAATTGGTGACGCTGCACAGGGCCGCTCAGAGTTCTTAGTGCTTGTGCAGTTGCGAGGTTGAAGTGGACAAGTATTCCGACACCACCGCAGCAGTGCCCTATTTGACGGAGCTGAGGCGGACTTGATGTGCAATGTTGCATGTATGTTGCATGTTGTGCTCAAATTCTTCAGCGCCAGCCGGGTCAGGTTCAAACGCAAGGGTGCAAAATGGTACGGATGGAGCGAGGAGAGGGCACAAGAGGAGTGGGACAAGGCAGTTCGCGACAAGAATGTGAAGCGCAAAACCGATCAGTACGGGAATCTGACCATCGCAAAGCTGTCCGAGGAATCGGACGTTTCAGGCTTACGCGTCGGCAACAAGCGCAAAATTCAGGAACAGAACAAGCACAAGGTTGGTGATGAAGAGGCCATTGAGAATTTGGCCGCAGGCCATGGCCTTACCGCTGCAATTGACAAGCTTAGGTTTCGAGTTGTGTCGAGGCTGTGTCGAAGCATTTGTAGCTCGTGCCCAGGTCTGGCTCAGTCTCGGCTAGATGTCGAGGTGAAAATGTCGGCAGCTTCAGGTTCATGTGGGTTGAGAAACAGATGAGCGTGTGTTGTTAGCGGTTGGCTATCTACCGTACACACGGCTCGTGCCAGGACTCAATCTCCTGACTTTGAGCGACAACAGTCGGGGCTGTGCCAAGGCCAAGCCACAGAAAAGTAGCAAAAAGCGGGAGAACCCTGCTGTGGAAGATGGTGGGTCGCATAATTCATCCTCCTCGAAGTCGCGGTTGGACCCAGAGGCCAAGAGGAGACTTGACCAACTGAAGCTGGACTCCGATGTGGTCCACATGAGCCAGAAATGGGTTGGTCGCATCAAGATACTCAATGTTGAGGCCTCGCAATCCTTGGCGGCAGCGGAGCAATTTCCAGAATTGGCAGCGCCCCTCGCTATGCATCCGTACTTAGACGTTAACTGTCACTATTTGCTCGCTTGCTTCGTTGCACATTCCGAGGCTAAGCAACGTGGTCGAGGATGCTTTGGAAAAGTTCGCGCTCAGCGGGCCGATAGTGCCCATGTCACCCAGCATGAAATCGACGCGATTGGGTATGTTGGGCGACAAGTTGCAAGCAGACCGCAGGTCCGAGGCAACGCATGGGCTCTCACGTTGTAACTCAAAGAAGGATTTGAGTGATTTCGACAAGCTCATGGCAGGCCATGAAGGGTTGTTGAAAAAGGCGCTGTCACAATTGGACAAGGATGTTGAGCATCACCAGGAACAGGCAGAGAAGGAGAGGGCGATGAAGGAATTGCTGCAGGCGCGGCTTCAGAAGAAGAAGCAAATCATGGAGTCACGGAGGGCAAAAGGCAGGGCAGCCGGCCTCAAGCAGGGTAAGGTGCAAGAGGAGCTCCAGAGTGCCAGTGGGGATGGATCTGACGCAGAACCGGGTGAAAACGAACGTGGTCACAGTGACGGTGAGAAGCCCGAGCATGAAGATGCCAATGAGTGGCGTTTCGCGCAAGAGGCTGATGCCTTGATCAGGGACAAGGCATTTGGTGTGGATTTTGTTTTCCGTGGCTCTTCCTCCGATTCCGTGACTTTCGTGAACCCAACGATGCTCACAAGTCTGGACTTGAACGGGTTCGGGTTTGACCAAGCAGTCTCAGACGCCCTGTACAAAGAGCATGTTATTGGGAATGATGATGAGGACGATGCTGCCGATGATGCCGGTGATGCTGACCAGCCAAAGAACTTGAATTATTTCAAATCAGTGCTCGCATCACCGGTGGATGAATGGACCAAGAGCTTCCCCGAAGTACTCGAGAAGTTGGTTGCAGGTGTCGCGGCTTTCCTTCTGAGTCGGTCCATTGGGTTGTTTCACTTGTTTTGGGTGAGGGATTCGATTGGATGATGCTAGCTGAGGTGTCAACGCTGTGGAAGGCTTGCTTGAGCAGGACTTCAAGTCGTCCGACTGGTCCAAAGTGCTCAGTGGAAGAATCCAGTACTCAGGGCCACGTCACAAGTGGATGGGCTTTTCCGATTTACTTTGGGGCAGATTGGTTTGGGTTGTTGGAGGAGAACGTGTCTGCGTCGGGATGCCACTTATGGCTTTTCAAAAGGACCTAGCAGATGCCAACGCTGACATCGGTGGCATCACCGCTAGGTTCACAGCCATGTCGCGTGAAGAAATCAAGAAGTCTGGAGGTTTTGCTTGCCTCGTGGAGTCAGGCGATGTACTTGTGATTCCACCAGGGTACTTGCTGGCCGACGTTAACACGGGCGCCTTGGACGGTTGCCCGGTGGAGTCGGAGGATGCCCCGGCCGATGTGGGAGCTGCTCGACTGCTCGTTTCAGAAGAAATAGAACTTGAATCCTAAGGCCCTAAAATGTTCAGGGTTTTAAGTGTTGGCAGTGGTCCAAGACCGCATGCTATATAGCAGATCGCGCGCCTGAATCGGTGTTTGACGTCTGAGTGTCTATGCATTCGTTTGCGAGGTGTTCCCCGTCTTAACACGGGACCAGCTCGTGAACTTCGACCTCGGGGTCTATGATGCTGCCATCCGTCTCTGTGCTGTTCACGGGGGTTTGTGCGCCAACTTCAAGCATGGTCAAAAAATGGTGCATCGTCTTCAGCTGCAGCTCAACAGCATGGGCGTGAAGGATGAAGTCCAGAGCCCTGTTCGCGTCGGTCACGCCCCTAAGTCTGCTTCAGATCCGGAGACTGGCCTCGTGCAGCTTAAGCCGCACGACCTGCAGTTGGTTCCGTGGGTTTCGGATGACGATGATGCTTCCGTGCAGCGTGCAGTTCATGAAGCATTGTCTCTGGTGACGGCGATTGTCACGAACGAGGTTGGGGGCACAGCGTGATTCATGTTGAAGTCGAGATGAGGTTCTAGCGTTGTAGAGCAGCCGCCGCTGTTGATATCCAGTGCCATGCAGGATCCCAGCAATCGTGATGGCCTGCTGCATTGCGCAGCTGTTCGCCTCGAGAGTGTGTTGACGATCGCTGGAGTGTCCATCGATGTCTTGAACTCGCAGGCTCATGCCATCCTTCACCAGACCCACGAGGACTGCCGCCAGGCAGAGGAGATGTGGCACCAGTTGGTGGAGCGAGTGAGCCGCCGTGCAACTGCGACCAGTTCCACGCTTGTGGATGCTCCCGGTGCCTTTGGCACCCATCGTGACTATGCTAACTTTGTGGATGCAGCACAATGCGAGGCGCTTGACAAGGAGTTCGACGAGATGTCCAAGAGCAAGACCACAGTTCCGGACAGCAAGCCGCAAGTGTTCCCAGAACTCTCAGGCACCTTCAAGGACACCACACAGGAAAACTTTGATCGGTTCTTTGATGCGGAGCTGCGCAGGCAGCAGAAAGAGGATGCAAAGGCGAAGAAGCTCCTGGATCCCCCAGCCCCGCCAGCCCCAGTAGCCGCGCCTACCAGCACGAAGCCCAACAAATCTAAGCCGGCGTCTGCGAAGACCAAAGCAAGCCCAAAGAAGCAGCCCAAGTCCCCTAAACCCAAAGCTAAAAACAAGTCCAAGGCGAAGGCAGCGCCTAAGAACAAGACCACGGAAGCCCCAACCCCGAAGGGGGCAAAACGAAAGGCTGCATCGAAGTGATTCGGTCTTCCCGGCTTTCGGTGGAGATGCCCGAGCAGTGACGTGTTTCCAGGAATCAGTTTTGCAGGTTTGATTTTCGAATCCCATGGCTTCCATTGCTATGTCGACAAATGCACGATCGAGACGATCGAGAGTGAAATTAACGTTCAATTCATTTCAATTCGATTCCTATATGCCTACGTCTCGAACTTCCGGTTCATGTTGTTCCACATCGCCTACGGCGCCTGTGTACCTGTGCATCTTCGGATTCGCTTGAACATCAAACTACTTGTTCCCTGGGTAGCCCCGTGGTTGCACCTCTAGGGCCATCAGAGAAGCGTCCTAGTAATGTCGTTCTTCCATGTTGCTGCTACTGCTGAGGCCACTTCTCATTTTGGATTCCGGGCTGCGACTTTGGATGTTGAAGAGACTTCTCGCGTGGTTGTGTGAAAAGCAAAAGCTCTGCTGTCAGTGATGCGTTTCCCGGGGCGTTGGAAGCCTGAAGCCTGAAGCAGTAAATGAGAGAGAACGTGTTATCCTGCGAATCAGTCGCTGGAGCATGGATTCATGACCATTTGTGAATATCAGCTTGTTGCACCTGTGATTGGTTGTTGCGCGTGTGATCGGGTGTGCTTTTGTGTTTGAACCCGGGTTTATGCCCGTAGCCATATGCCTTCGTTCACCCGCCGCCCCAGGACACCTCGTTGACATTAGTACCTAAACCCTAAACCCTAAACCCTAAACCCTAAACCCTAAGCCCTAAACCCTAAACCCTAAACCCTAAACCCTAGACCCTAAACCCTAAACCCTAAGCCCTAAACCCTAAAGACCCTAAAGAGGGGATCCTCAGCTTGGGTTCAAGGCCCCACGATTGGTACGTTTAGGGTTTTGGGGTTCTTGGGTTTAGCGCTTTAGGGTTTTAGGGTTCAGGGTTTCGGGTTTAGGGTTTGGGGTTTTGGGGCTTTAGTCTTTTTAGGGTTTGGGGTTTTTTAGGGCTTTAGGGATTTAGGGTTTTAGGGGTTTTAGGGTTGTTACTGTTTGAGAATGAAGAGTGATGACGATGCCGATGGCGGTGCTGGTCCCATTGCTGTATTTGTGGAGGTGGCGGTGACGTGATAGTGGTGGAGCTGGCATTGACGGCGGTGGCGACCACGACGACAACAATTTGCCAAACACCTTTAGTCTTCATTATTGCTACTTTTTGCAGCTCAGCAAATCAACTCGTAACGTCTGTGCAACCAAAATTGGTGCATAGGCTTCCTCTAAACGGCGTAGAGCGTCCCTCCGGAGCAGAGAGTCTGTGGGACACGAAACCTCAATCTGCATCTAAACACCACCAAAAACTTAAGGACTTAACGCCCTTAGGGTTTAGGGATTTAGGGATTTAGGGATTTAGGGATTTAGGGTTTAGGGTTTAGGGTTCAAGGTCTCAGGATTTTAGGGCGAGGTTTAGGGCTCAGGGTTCAGAGCTGGGGTTCAGGGTTTCTGGGGCTGACTGAGAAGATTTTTTATCGCTTTTTGAGGGTTTTGTGGTTTGGGAGTATTGGGTTTGTCGGTGTTGTTCGGATGGAGGGGCTTGCTTCAAGCTGAACACACGATTCTGTAGATCACTGCGCTCAACATTTCGGGTTTTAACTTTAACAACTTTGTACTACCCTAAAAGTTTTAGTTTGGTGGTTCATTGGAGAAGCAAGTGCATGGTTTAGGGATGCCAAAACCCGAGCTTGCAAATGCGCCAAGCCGTATCAGCAGGCACCTACTTCAACGATTCTGGTGCAGTGCACTGCACGAAGTGCCCGTTGAATTTGACGACACAGGACCCCGGAAAAAAACAACGCATTTTTGGTCTTAGAAGCGGCTTCGGGGTTTCAGTGATTCAGAACAACACCATTGGCTCCTGAAGGCTTGAATAAAAAGGCCGCATGCATTCGCATGCATTTGCGTCCACGAACTGTGCGGGCAGACAGCGTTGTCAACCCCCATCCAAACCTGAGACACCCATCCCCAACCCATACACCCAATATCTGTGATCTTTCTAATTTAATCTAAGGTTGAAACCATGGGCCCCTAGTGTGGGCCCTTGACCCTGGGAGCCTTATATACCTACTATCTGCCCTGAAGGGTCTCTAGGATAGCCCTAAAGGCCTAAGGGTCCATGTTAGGGGCCCATAACTCCAGCCTTACATTAAACCTCATCTTCTGCACTTTGAGGCTTATTTTTTGGCCATACCGTTGATGATAGAAGTCCTGTATTACCTCAAGGACTTTAAACTATGGGAATTATGGCATATTCCTTACCATGGGTAATGCAGGATTTATCTCATCAACCGTAGGACAGGTGTAGAGTTTCAGGGTTCGGCTTTGCGAAGGCTATCGGCTACCATGCTGAGGGTTCAGGGTTTAGGGCTACCATGCCCGGCTGAACAACGGCAGAAGAGGCAATGCTGGCAGTCATCAAGTCCGGTTTCAAAAAGGGCTACCATGCCCTGGTCACCACAAGCCCGCTACGACGCCCACATACCTGGCAGAATAGGGCTTAGCTGCAGTGCCAAACCCTTCAAACTTGTCGGTTATTTTGTTGTGAACAACTGAAATGCAACCCTAAACCCTAAACCCCTGAATCCCTGAACCCCTAAACCTCTAAACCCCTGAACCCGAAACCCTCCAGAATTTCAGAATGAAGCCCTTTATTGCAGCTGGTGATGGGATCCGCAGCCAGGGTTTGGGGGAAGCCTCTTGGGCTAGGGAGGGTTTAGGGTTTAGGGTTCAGGGTTTAGGATAGATGCAGAACTTCCTGCTTAGCTCCGTAAAGTTTCTCCAAAAAGGGTTCTGCCCTAAAAACCCTTTGAAACCGTAAACCCTGAACCCTAAACCCTAAACCCTGAACCCTAAACGCCTAAACCATAAACCCCGAAACCCTGAACCCTGAACCCAAAGCCCTGAATCCTGATCCTCTGGGAAAAAACTGGCCAAGCCCCATCAAGTTCTTCTTGTCCTAACTCATCCCAGGGTTTGGGGTTTAGGGGTTAGGGTTTAGGGCTTAGGGGTTTAGAGTTTAGGGTTCAGGGTCTAGGATTTAGGTTTAAGTTAAATGTTAAACTCCCTGTGCAAACTCATTTTGAAGGTTTTTAAGATGATTAGGTTCAACACCTCTTTCGCACATGACCTAAGCCCATCTCCTCACCCTCACCCTAAAACCCGGAACCCTAAACCCTGAACTCTTAAACCCTAAACCCTAAACTCTAAACCCTGAACCCTAAGCTCTAAACCCTACACGCTAATCTCTAAAACCCCCGTGGCGAGGAGTCGGGTTCCATCGATTTCTCAGAATGTGAGTGTGCCGAGGGGACTTTCCTTTGTGAAGGCTCGCCTCGTCCTGGGTTTAGGGTTCCTCCTTTTTTGGGGTTTAGGTGCTAGGTGTTTAGGGGTTTAGGGTTTAGGGTTTAGGATTTAGGATTTGGGGTTTAGCGTTTCGGGTTTAGGGTTTGGGGTTTAGGGTTTGGGGCTTGGGGCAACTCGTGCAAAATGTTGTTCTAGATGTTCAATGCCTGGGCTGTGGGATCTTTTTTTTGTGGTTGAGGGTTAGGGTTTAGGGTTTAGTAATATCGGGTTTCTCTAGAGCCTACACAAGGCTCGCAAAGAGTGTATAACGGGGGTCTAGTGCTCCCAAGGCAAACATCGCTCCGTTTTGGCCCGAATCTCGCGCATAATAGAGCTGACAATCCAACTTTTCTGGACGCTCCCTGCAAAAACCACTGAACTACACGGCCCCTAAACCCTAAACCCCTAAACCCCTAACCCCTCTAGCTGTAAAGCTTCCAACCCATGGGCAAGCCGCTAAAGTTTCAGTCATGCCTCCAAGCTTCAGAGTTCTCAAGATCTCAAAGCCCATCCCTAACCTTGATATGGGAGTTTCCGAAAACAAGGGGTACCCCACTTTGGGGTCCTTATAATCGAGATCCTGCTATTTGGGGAGGGTACTTTATTGGGGTTCCCTAAACCCTAAACCCTAAACCCTAAACCGTTGGGTTTAGGGTTTAGGGTTTAGGGTCGGAAACCCCCATATGGAGCCCTTAATGCTCAGAGCAGGTCTGGCGGGTGCTTGTGGACAGTTATCTGCGGTATGCGGTATGTTAGCCCAGAGACTCCAATACCCCTTAATTAAGGAATAAACCTATTAAACCGTATTAGGGATCTTACTATAATTTAAGGTATATCCCTTAATTAAGGGGTATTGGAGTCTCTGGGAGTTTTACGATTATTACTAA